GAAATCTAGATTATGCATTTTTTAACCACTCCTTCCTGCAAACAGAATCAGAATGGGCATAGGGAACCTGAAGAGAATTGCCTCAAAAGTGCCTCAAGGCTTGTTCAAAATTATTAATCGCAATTGCCATCTGAGAATGGTATAAGCTCTTATTTCTGTATTCTAACATCTCTTTTTACTCCAAATTTACAAAAGACCCAATTCACTTCCTTTACTGGTTTGTGATCTATAGTAGACTAAACTACAATAGCTCCTGATTTACCCTCCACTGTGAACTTCAGAGCAACTGCTCTACACATCTGAGATATCAGCCTTACTATTTCTTGCCCATCTTTCCTATTTAAGCTACATTTTTCATAATTACCCTACCAAATCACTAATCTAGTAAGCTCTTATTTTTATCTAATATGAAGATCTTTATTGCCTCAAATTTACTCATTTAAATTTGTACATGATAGCTCAGGCATGTCTGGTAAATCTTTTGTCTTTCCCATGAGCCTAAAAATTAAGGTTTTACACATCAGTAATTCATCCACATAGTTCATCTGTATTTTAAATGATACCACACTAAAACAATTTAAAGTGAATGCTGAGATGGGAATGATGTACTGGATTGGTAAAAAAAGTAAGCTTTTTATCAAAATTAATAACAAAAATACCTCAGTCATCAGAATCAATCCTCTGTTAAACACAACAAGAAGCCTGTCTTCATCAGACTCCAATAATATTCTGAAGGCACTAGGAGAAAAAAGCAAACATTGAGATATTCTTGCAATATTCTTGCAATATTCTTGCAAATTCTTATACGTATTCTTATATATGCTTAGAATTATCATGCTCATCTCTGACAGGATTATGCACAGAGAATGAGTCATTCATCTCAGCACTGCATTTGGGAAAATCTGATGGCATCCCGTGACAGATGACCTACGTAAACCTTTCAAGTAACAGAGGCCATTTTCCTTTTCGCACAACTGTTTAAATATATCAGCTGTTGTATTTAAAACCCCAGTACCTGACCTACATATCCGGACAATGTGCAGTTACATTGAAGGAAAACAACCCCAAGCAGCTGTTTCAGACGTGCTAGATATACTAGATAGTAAGATATACTAGAAAAAAAAAAAACAACCATTGGAGATTTGAACAATAAAATTCCGTCCCACAAATACAATTTCTAAATAATTTTTCTGCCCCAAGATAACAAGTGTTACCGATGGCAAATGAAATTACTGTTTTGTCAATCTAGACAAATAATGGCAGGCTGAGAATGGAATTTCAGCTTATATGCTGACTTACAGCATTTAAATGATTCTTTCCCCTAAGGGCTCTAGTAGTTTTGTCATGGTGATTCTTTTTGAACCATAGCAATATATACCTTGTTTATTGTACATATCTTCTATATGTCTTTTTTATATCTGCTTATTGTACAATGTTTGTTTAGTTTCTGAATTTTTAGATGCTGAAATCTTCTAAAATACATTACATCCACAACTTTGGATTTTGGAAAAAAATGTAATTTGATCTGGTTGTTTACTTCTGCATAAAAGCAAACTTAAAATTTAAAAAAGTATAGAATGACCTACACTAAGTTTTATTGTACTTCACATTCTACAAAATACCATTCTTGTTCAAGCTATGCCACAACTTCAATGCTAATGTACCTTATTAAAGTAGTCCAACAAGATCGTCCATCCAAGCAGCGCAGATAACAGCTTATGGTGGTTTTCTTAAACTGCTTTATGTCTTCTATCTCTTCCTCTCTCATGTCTGGTCTCTGAGCTACAAAAAGTTGCATGAGGTTAAACAGTTCTTCTACTGCCTGAAACACAAAAATATTAAGTTAGTGACATCTCCCTCAGTATACTATGGTTTACATCTAATTTTTAAATTCCTTTGTATTCCTCCTATTAATTAATAAATAAAATCTAAAATAGCATTTAAATAATGTATTTAAAACAACTGCAGATGTGATAAAATTTTAACCTGTCAGAAAAGCAGCAGACATTTTAAACTTAAAAAATTAAAGCTAAATAGTACCTAAAAACTAAAATTCTGACATAGAAGCTGTAGACCTCATATCTATGTTCAATGCGGTTTGGGTTTAGTCTTTACTATTTACTATGTGCATTATGACATAGACATTTGAGATAAATCTTTCTGAACCTTGAATGCATGCTTTGATGCTTTTTAACAGCTCATTGCTACATCTGCATAGACAAAAGTATCTGAGAAACCTTGATCCAAGTGCTCAATCTTCCTGTCTTCTATTGTGCAGTTTAAGGTCATTCTTTTGCAGCACAATTACACATAAACTCTGATGATGTCTATATTCCAAATAACAGGGTTCAGGAAACTGCTAAATTCGCTGAACTTTTATGTGCATGGAAAACACTAAACATGCCAAAGTAACTAATGCCCCTTCTGACGGAGATGCAAACAGTAAGACCATTTACACGACCGCTACAGTACACCTGTAGTCAGAGAGCTGAACTAGACTGAAGTTCAGTGTAGAAGATTCCACATATCCTCCTCCCCTATGCAGGGAAGAAAATCTCCAGATTATTTTTTTCTAACCTTGCATACCATTAAAAGATCCTAAAGCAATAATAAATAAGCAGTCATAGAAAACTGCCTGCTTCCCCTCTTTAAAAATTTCTAAGCTTGGCTTCCCACAATCACACCAGTATCTGTTTTTACTGTGATACAACGTTGCAGAGGCAGCAGAATTCACAGAGTACCAACACTTTACAAAAGGCACCACCAGGCCATCCAATCTTGGCCATGTACCAGAAACTGAAAGCCATCAAGAAGCTCACTGGGAATTCCTCCAACACAGCGTGTTACAATGTAAGACTACTTAAAAGGTCTTCCCTGTTTCCTACAACTACACAGAATTTTCTGAAAACATCAGTGGCTGCTTCCAGAAAAAACATCTGCTCTTCAACCGCTACACAGCAAGGAAAAAATCCAAAACAATCCCTCCCTGACAGTAATCAGATCTGAACACACACCAGTAAATAAAAATACAATAATTTTTCCACTGAATATATTCATCTTTTTAACTCCTTCAATAAAAGAGACATTCTCTAAAGGAGGAAACATCGACAGCAAAATTCCACTTTTTGGCACTGATCTACTTACTCCTGGGTACTGACTGGCATGTGGCGTGAGATTCTTGAACGCCCACTGGATGTTCTGGTGAGAAGCCAACTGCCTCGTGAACACAGGGGACTGCTCACAGCAGAGACGCAGGATGCCATAGTAGGCAGGCAGCATCCCACGGTTGAAGAGCACTACATCCTGATCATCGTGGTCAGCAAGGATGTAATTGAAGGCAATGTTCTTTGTCACCACAGGGTTCTGTACAATAAGGCGCACGTTCTCTGGACAGTCAACACAGACGTTATACCAAAAAGACAACAAAGCCTGTTTATTGTGGTTGGTGGCTATAGCTGGCTCAGAAAGTTTAGGCTGGAAAAGGTTCCATAAGTCCATGAAGTAAGTAGAAAACATGAGTTTCTCAGTTTTTGAGATCAAGCAGTATGTCATGAAACTGAAGTAGGGCACAAGTTTTGTTGTGCCATGAACAGCAGCATCAACATATAACTTAGCTCTCGAAAGAAGGCCAAGAAGCACGTTGTAGACTTGATGAAGAACTACTGTAGTATCTGGACTAAGTGGCAGATCACGTGTAGGGATGTGCAAAGAGCGGGTTGATCGGAACATCTGACGGAAGGAATTGCTTGGAATAAGCGACACCAAGAGATAGGCTGCAGCTTCAAATAAAAACAGATGTGTTACACTTTCAAAAATGATGTAAATGTTCAACAGCCAATAAACAGAAGTTAAATTATGTTGTATGCCCCATTCACAGATTTTAGAGTATTTTAGAGAATCTGGTGTGACGATATTTCCTCTAGAGAAGAACAAAACAGTAGAAAAGACTAGCACATAGCAAGTTAAAAGGTGTTGAGTTAGCTTTCAGTCCTACTCAGCCTCTATTTCTGTCTGCTGCTTGATTCTCACTATTGTAATAATATGCCTTCCATCACAGAAATGCACAGAAATGCTTTCTATGACTATTTCCTACTGCTTGATTGAAGCTGCTACAAAGCTGTACCTCCAAGATTCCACATCTCCTTCCACCACAGAAACAGTATTGAACTTCAGTGTGGCTTATTACTATCAAATCTTCTATACAACAAAAGTTAGACATGGGAAAGGCTCAACATTTGAATGTGACAAATGTTGGCAGTGTGATCCTGGCAGAACAACTTACAGTGGCAGTACATGTTAGAGCTGGGCAGAAGCAAAAACTTATTTTCGATCCAAAAGTTCAAAGGACTCAATTCAACTAAAGATTACTTTGTGATAGCTGAAAGAAGAGCAAGAACCTACAATGCAACTATGTGATGCAAACTACAGAGAACAACTTTGCTGAGTTGCTTTTCTTCACCGGGTTTTCCTGGACACGTGGATTAATTAAGTAAGGTAAAGAACCTACTAATGTACTCTTTCATTAATGAAATAAAAATACGGCTTTCACCTATAACAGCTGCCTCTTGACGAGGCACATTTATAGCAATACTTTAAAAAATAGAGCAACTGTAAAACAGTTGGAAAGATGAAGAAAATACATGCACAAGATCATATATTTGTCACAGGAATACCATATGCATAATAACTTGCAACAACAGCACAATTATTTTCTTTAATTTAAATTAACTTACAAGTTCTCACTCTAGGATAGTTATGTGCCAGAAGAAAACGTTCAACCCAGTTTTCCATGTTTTGTAGCACCCAGCTGTGCGCTAGTTTATTTCGAGGCGTTTGCACAGCCAGCCAATCCAGGCACTGAGATGGGTTGTATTCAATGACCTGAAAGAACAACGGAAAAATCAAGAGGAACACGTTAACCCTAGTAATATTTATTAATTAAGAAAAAACTAAAAATAGCTATAATGACTCTCAAGGTACTTTTTAAAACTAAGTGGAGCTACTGAAGTACATACCACACGCGAGGACTACGGCAGACAGAGAAAATGCTTGTTAAATTTCAGTGTGCTCTGCACTTCTGAATCGTGTTCAGAGCTTTTGAAAATCAAGTCCAGGTAGTTCCTCTACATTCTGTACATTTTAAGAACTTTCAATGTTGAAATGTTAAGCACTTTTAAAACTGAAAAATCTTGTTTTTACAAACAGATAAAAAACATTTAAAATAACACTAAGATAACACAAAGCTTTAATACTAAATCAGTTTTTACTGCAGTTATATGGGAAGAATATAAACGGCATGCAAATTAGTCGATCTGGCTTTATGCTGTTACTCATCATCCAACTACACAACTTGAAGGAATACATTCACTTGCTGTTTTTGACAGGTAATGAAAAGCCCATGGAGTGCTGTTGTTCAATTACAAGAGCCTTACAAATACAACATAATTTCCTGCGCCTTTCTAGTTCTATAAGGTTGGAAATTTACCAATGCGTTATCAAGCTAATAAACCACGTTCTTTTATTTTAAAGGTGTTTTTAAAACTGTTTTCTGTTAACTTTAAGGTATAGCTACCTGGATAAGAAAAAAAGGATCTCCTAGGAAAACACAAGCAGTAACTGCATTGCCAAAGGTGCTCCCAACTACTACAACCCACCTGAAGAATATAAGCAGCTAACAAGATTGATGCTCTGCTTATAAAATTTTAATCAACATTAAAAAATGAACATATCAGGAGCAATCTCCTCTTTTTTTTTTCCTTAAGTTTTAAAAGAGAAAGAATGTTCAATAGCTTTCCCTTGTAGTCTTCAGACTGTAATAAGTAAACTCAAACAGCAGTTTAACTGAACCTAGGCTTTAATTCCTGATCTATTTCGTTATTTCTCAATTAACTGGTGCCACTTAGTTAAAAAATGTCTTTCTCTTTAGAAATGTGAGTGAGAATGCTCCAACACCACAGTAAATATTCATTAGATTCCAATTAGCACTTATTTTATGGGTTAGACAATTCATCACTATTTTATAGAGAACAAAAAATGTCAACCCGATATTCACTTAACCAGCACATATCAGGCAAAAAAGAAAACAACTAAGAATAGTCCTCAAACCAGCTTACAGTCTTTCTAAAACAATAATTAAGAAAAATTAGTGGAATTTGCTCAGAAGCTATCCAGACCCCTATTATGCATTCATTTCTCTTTAAACTAAAAGTTAACCTGAAATACCAGCTAACCAGAATGCTATTGAAACAACAGTAAAGGTTAGAATAGAACTTAACATTTATAAACCATCGCTTTTTCTCTGAAAGAAAAAGGCTCTTGAAAAGTTCATGAATTGATGCAAAGGAGGATGACAGTGAAATGTAACACTCTTTCATGTACATAAAAAAAAAAAGTAAGCAAGACAATTCAGCTCCTGATTTTATTTTTTTTAAAACAGGTTGTACCTCCCAAATCCTCTGCAGAATGTAAGAAGCAAAAGGTGGCATTCCTGGGGGTCCACCAGCAAATTCCATTAGCATAGTCAACAACTTGAAAAAAGGATTGGCAGCCTGTAATGCATAAAAATAAAAATTGCCATTTTTATCTACTTCATTCAATCCATTAATATTTTTAGAGACTTTAAACCATTCCAAATAATTGCTTAATTTCTGCTAACTTCAGAACTTAACATTTTAATTACTTCTAATCCCATATTATTTAATCTCTAAATCAACCGATTATCTGAATTTATATCTTAATTCTGCTATATCCACATACAGATTTAAACCAGTGGTTACAATGAAGATAGCACTATCGAACTAGACAGGATCAATCTACTAGAAATATATAGTTACAAGGAAATAACATTAATATTTAAAATTAGACACTACTCTGAACAAAGGGAATAAAATCAAGCTGGACAGCATTTAAAAATTCAAAAGTTTCCCATTAGTATAGATAACACTATCTCAGAAATGTCGTTTTTAAGTGTATTTGCATAACAGGTAACACGTAGCCCAAAGAGTTTATCCAAAACATCACTTTATTTTTTAGGTTTTACACTGATCGTTATTTCTGGCCCATGGTTTCCCTCTGAAACCACCAACGTCTACTCTCATGAAATGCATTATTATTTTAAGTTTGCCAAGACTCATCTAGCTTTTAACAGCACTTCAGTAATGTGTTTACTATTTAATATTTCGCACCTCAGCAAAAGCATCTTTTGTGCATGTGCATTTGTGCAAAGCAAAAAAAGGAAAAGCAGTAAAATGCAGTAATAGCACGATGGGAGGGAAGTAGACTGTCATCTGATAGTGCCCATTCTATCACGCAAAGCAAAGCTGTCATGAGAATGGTTTCATATGTGTTTCTTTCCAACTATGATCATGTCTCCTCTCTTCGACATACCTTCAATTTTTCCTGATTGTTTTTAGTTTTCTGACAGCAATATACAAGAATGTCCTTGCATGAGCTCCACTCTATATTTTATCATGTGGAATCCATTTAGAACTCTCAGTATTTTTGTTACCAGGGCAGGAATTTATTCCGTCTGAGAAAAGTGTTTGCATGCACAGAACTGCAAAATAGTCTGCCAAAACTTGAACAACAAAAAGATAACTCCTTATCTCCACTTATTCTAGCGTTCATGTTTTATTTTTTTATCAATCTTATGAAAATGATATAGGTGGCGAGTCTAGAAACAAGTTATTTGGTTTTCATCTGAAATCGCATACCAGATTTCTGCTTCAGAAAACTTAATACACAGTGAAGATAGGCTTTATTTTATGTCACAAAAACTTTCATGGACCATCTTCCATGCAATATTTTTAATGAGCGAAGTATTATTTAAGTAATTTAAAACAGAAAAGAGTTCAAACAAATTATTTAATATGCAGGTTTACATACCTCAGGAGTCAACTTTGCTATTGATGTGAAAAGCATGGACACAATCTTGAAAGAAACAAACAAAACTCACTTAGACTTTTGCTTATTCAGCTAAAATAACAAATCATTCCATTACACTTATTAGACAACATTTTCAACAAACAGCTGCAGTTGCTGATACTTACATGTTCTGCAAGTCTATTATTGTACCGACACAAACTGAAGATCAGATTGCAAGTTTGCCTGATGTTGATACCATCACGGATATGTTGAAACAAAAAAGGAAATCCCTAAAACAAATAATTAGACATTAGTACATTGTTTACAATTATACATGCTGATACCTGTTGGTTTTTTTTAAAGGTTTACATTTGTATTTAAATCAGTTACCTTTCCTCCTGTTAATGCTGCCATGTCATTCTGTGATAAAGTCAAATGCCTAAAATACAAGAAAACTTTGATCATTTTACTTCTGTGATTTTTAAGTTAGGTTAAAGAGACATTTATGACTGTGAGTGCTAGTTTATAATCTTCGCTATCATAGCATACTTGAAAATAAGGGTACTGACATAAAACAAAAAGAAATATTTTTTATTAGATAGACTGAAAGACAAAAAATGCAAATCAGAGCAATTGAATGGATTCGAGACTTTAGTCTCTATCTTCATTTGGTCACTTATTTTAAAATGGTTAAAAATATCATGGACCAATAGCAAGCTCATTTATGCTTTTAAGAGATCAGCTTAAACAAAAATGAAACAAAAACCTCTAACCCCATTTCCAAGTAGCATATTAAAATTTGGTTTTGGGTTTTCAGAATCTCTTGCCTTTCAGAGCGAGACTGTTCAACTAGGAGAGCAATCAGAGCAATCATCTTCTCAAGAGCAGCAGGCCTATATTTTTCTTCTGCTAAAGAAAGTATATCTTCCTCCTCCTCCTCCTCCTCCCCTTCTTCCTCAGAAAGTACTTCAACCTGTGGCTGAAGGAAAAAAAAGAAATTTCAACGTGGACATTGAGTGCTTTAACTACAGAAAGCCTGTATGTTCACAGAATCACAGAATCACCCGGGTTGGAAGGGACCTCAAGGATCATGTAGTTCCAACCCCCCTGCCTAGCAGGGCCACCAAACACACACATTCAGATCAGGTTGCCCAGGACCCCGTCCAACCTGGCCTTGAACACGTCCAAGGACGGGGCATCCACAACCTCCCTGGGCAGCCCGTTCCAGGGCCTAACCACTCTCCTTGTAAAGAACTTCCCCCTAACATCCAACCTAAATCTTCCCTCCCTCAACTTGGATCCATTTCCCCTAGTCCTGCTGTTGTCAGCCCTTTTGAAGAGTTTACTCCCCTCCTGGGTGTAGGTTCCCTTCAGGTATTGATAGGCTGCAATGAGGTCACCCCACAGCCTTCTCTTCTCCAGGCTGAACAAGCCCAACTCCCTCAGCCTGTCCTCATAGGGGAGGTGCTCCAGCCCCCTGATCATCTTAGTCGCCCTCCTCTGGACCCTTTCCAAAATCTCAATGTCTTTCTTGTACTGAGGGCTCCACACCTGGACACAGGACTCCAGATGGGGCCTCACAAGAGCCGAGTAGAGGGACAATCACCTCCCTCTCCCTGCTGACCACCCCTCTCCTGATGGAGCCCAGGATCCCATTTGCCTTTCGAGCTGCCAGAGCGCACTGCTGGCTCATGTTAAGTCTCTCGTCCATCAGGACCCCCAGGTCCTTCTCTGCCGAGCTGCTCTCAAGGACCACTCCTCCCAGCCTGTACGGGTGCCTGGGGTTCTTCCGGCCCAAATGCAAAACCTTGCACTTTGCCGTGTTGAACCTCATTAGGTTCACCTGAGCCCAGCCCTCCAGCCTGTCGAGGTCCCTCTGAATGGCATCCCTTCCTTCCACCGTATCAACCGCACCACTCAGCTTGGTGTCATCAGCAAACTTGCTGAGGGTGCGCTCAATTCCCTCATCGATGTCATTAATAAAGATGTTAAAGAGCACCGGTCCCAAGACAGACCCTTGGGGGACACACCACTTGTTACCGGCCTCCACCTGGACACAGAGCCATTGACCACCACCCTCTGTCTGCGGCCTTTCAACCAATTGCTTATCCATCGGGTCGTTGTTTTTACATACACTGTCATCTTTCATTCATAAAATGGCTTACGTCGGAAGGGATCTCAAAGATCATATAGTTCCAACCCCACTGCTGCAGGCAGGGTTGCCAACCACTAAATATCAGGCAGTAGATCAAGATGTGTGAGGCCCCATCCAACCTGGCCTTAAACACCTCCAAAGACAGAGATCCACAGCTTCTATGGGCCAGCATCTCACCACCTTCTGAGTGGAAAATTTTTCCCTTGGCATCTAATCCAAATCTCAATTCTCTTACTCTCTTGTCCTGTCCATCACTCTCTACTCATGTAGAAAATCGATTTCCCTTCTGTTCAGAAGCTCCATTTAAGTACTGGAAGGCCACCATGAGGTCTCCCCTTCTAAAACACCTTAATAAATCTGCATGAGTCAAATCAGGTAAATATCTAATGTTTCACGTTTAAATACTCACAAGCTAAATAGTATTTACAAATGCAAAAGCAAGGATGAATCACTACAGAGAGTGGTATGGTGCTGTATTTAAGAAAAAATGCAAGTTTGTAAGTCAGAGTTGTACCAAAAATATGCAACCATCTGTTATTAATAGAGTCATGAGTGCAATTTTAATAGATTCTTCTTAATTTTTATTTCTATATTAAATATAGAACCATAGACAACTATGGTTTTTAGTATAGTTAATTCAGTATATATTTAAAACATAAAACTGAACATCGAAAAGAGACTGTAATATGGAAGTAAAATTTTAACATCTGAAAGATAGTTCAAGAGACATAGCACCAATGATCTCACATACGAAACAGGAAAGACTAGTTCTTGTTATCAAAGACATTCCAACTTACATTTTCAGGTCCTTTAGTTCCCATGTAGAAGTGAACCATTGTTGATATGGCTTGCAGTGAAAGCAAGAACTGGCTCTGAAATAACAGATGTTCAATTACTTGAAGATACACACACAGATATACATACACAATTCCTAAAGCTACAAAGCTATACTCACTTCCTCTTCACCCATTTTGGCAAATTCATAAAGAAAGGCAAAGTATTCTGTGAGATGTTTACTGTGTGGCTTAACGCCATGCTCCATAATAGACAAGAGAGTCTTCACAAAACGTGTCACACAGGAGCGACTGCCGATGTCTTCCACAGGACCATCCATGTCATCCGAACTGAAAACAGAAACCCAGTCAGACGTTTCACGCAATGCATGGAGCACACATTCACCTCAGTCTAGTCATTTTCAGAAAACCCTACACTATTTCACTTTCTCCTAGTATGATATTCAGATCTCCAGAAAAAAACTGAGTTCTGTATTTTGACATAAAAACTCTCTTTCCACATCCTGAATTTTATAGCAGCAATATAGTTATTACTTGGGAAAAAGTTAACAGGATCACAAGCTTAAACCAAAACATCGAAGAAAAAGCACTGTCTTCTCACTATGCATCAAAAAGAATAAATGCTTCATAATTGCAGACAGAGCAATGATTTTGCCAGTAATTAGCAGAACAAAATAGAACCTGTTTTGTTCTTTTTTTCCTACTTTGTGATGACAGCTGATTTAGCTATACAATACAGAATTGGACTTTTAATTTCCTGTTCTGGATAATACAATGTATTATCAGATTCTCATGTGTAAGTAGTAAGATGTATAGTCGCAGGTTATTATTGTCAATGAAAGAAAGATCACACTGAAAAAATCTATTCTAGCAGAACAAATACTTAAAAAAATTCTATCTACAGTATTGGCTTCCACAAACACAACAGAATTTTAAGTGAATCAGAGCATTTAGGGTAGAATAATAAACAAATGAAATAAAACAATTTTATGCTTACAAGACCATTTAGAATAATTCATTAAACAAAAAATGGTTGCTGTAATGTAAGTAATAAATAGAAGTTTTCAGGTGTTAGTATTTTACCAGTCTTCCACCCCTGGCTGAAGATAAAGATGCGCATGCACTGGTCTCAGTCTCTGTATCACATGAATGCACAAACGCTGGAACATCTGCAAATGATAAAATATATGAACTCTGCATGTTCATTCTTTTCCGTACATGTCAATACATATCTACAACAATGAATATTCAGTCTAATACTTCTTTCAGCTCTAATTCATTCAAAGGTTATAGCTGAGATTGATGCACCCACATTCCATTCATTTAAGAGAATAGTCAAACCTGACTTCTTATAAACAGATCTCATTAAGAAGCCCTAAAACCAGTTTTTAATATTAGCATGCTACTTGAACAGGACTTAGGACCTCTGCTCATAAACATTTTCTCTTCAATCTCTATTTTCTGAAATGTTTATGGACATTTTTAGCAATTTTTTTTTCATACAGCCTCTATCTATAGTGAGAAATTTTGTGTACGTTTTAAGGAAATTCCTTCCAGTCATTTCATTTATAAAAATTCACAAAGGATTAGAGCTTCACCTAAGATTCTGCATAGTGATTATCCATGAAATACAGTGCTTTAATGATGGGTCACATAAAGAAACTCTGTATGGTTCTATATGGAAACATTAATAATAATTCGAAGTTAAAACAGTTCAGGTGAGAAAGTAATTGCAGAAGCTCTTACCTGAACAACTGGCAATATAAATACACGTCTAAGTTAAACTATTAATATTAACTGTGAATATCCAAATGCTGCTAACACACGTTTTGTGTTTTTGCATTCTTCAATTTTAAACGTTCCAGAGAGGTAAACAACAAAAACCTGTGACATAATGTACATAGTTTTCTGAATGTATATCTTTAAACTTTGGTTTTGAATCAATTCAGAAAGAAAACATTTTAATGTAAAATATTTTAAACGTTCAGCTTTGTAGAGATCATGTGGGAGCTGTAGAAATCTTAGTATCTGCTGTGACATTTTGTGACACTAACTACAAACATGGCATGATATTAAAATATATTTTGCTTCAAACAGTAATACTGCCATAGCTAATTATATCCTGTAAACCATAAACAGGAACAAAAAAGAAAACAATTATAGATATTAATGTAGCCTTTCCAAATCACTGTACTTGTCATAAAATTTGTCCATTTCTGCTTACTGATCAAGTAATCACCTGATTAATAAAGGAGCATTTTTTCTGTCTCACCTGTCTCACAATCTGATTGGGACACTTTATTAGAATCTGCATTGGCCACCAATCATCATCTGCCATACGATCCAAAAACCACTGCAGAAAACACATATTTTGTTAGTTTTGTTTCAAACTGGTCCTAGTCTGATCTTCTTTTTGCAAAATACTAAGTTTGAAGAGAAACTGGCGTTACGATTATTAAGGAATAAGGAATTATTAATACAAGGGAAATGTAAAGATCTTCTGTGCATGAAAAACAAGGAGTAAGAATCAATAGAAACAAACAAAATTAAATCCAGTATCTTCTTATCCCTGTGTTCGTCACACCATTATGCAATTATCTGGAAGGAAATGCTTCTCCTAAAAACTCAGTTGAAGAATCTTGCTGAGTAGGGACAGGCTTAAACAAGAACAAAGTTCCTGGTTTAGACCCCTTTTGCATTTTAAAATGTAGAAAAGTCTTACTATTTCTAGAGATAACAATAGAGTACGATACATTCAAAGTTAGACTTTGCAAATAGTACTTCGATTTCCATAAATTTATTTACAGGAAAATAACCTTGAAACAAAGAATTCAAGTTGCTGATATTTTATTTCAAATTCACTCAAATATTCATTACTATATTAAATTTACTCACCCATTTTAATCATCACAAGCCTACATCATACTATGATTTTACTTTGTCTATACTGAATAAAGTATGCAACTAGGATACAGTATGCAACTAGTATCTTTCTATATTCAAACTATCACAATAAATCTATCACAAACTTTCCTCCAGTATCTCAAAAACAGTTTTCACCACCACAGTGAATTAGTGAATTCTTTGTCTGTGGTTTCTCATTTTTCCTCCGCACTTTTGCCCAAACTCTCTTCAGTCAGCTTCTGTATTTTTTTTCCTAAAGATTATATATATATAACACATATATATTAACACATTGAGTTGAAGAGCCTCAGTTTTTTAAGAAAGGCATTGCATAAATTTCCACCTACATCTGACAAATACCTGCTTTTAACTCCCTTTTAAGCCTTTATGATGCCGCAGCCTTTCTTCACATCCCCCTGGATTCAGTTCCACTTCCTTCCACTCTACTCACTAAGATTTACTCTGTCTTTCCAAATTCATTTTAATGCCTCTTCATTATACAATATACATCATACAATAATCAAACACAAAAGCTGCAATACCACATGGTCTGTCTTCCCAGTGACAAAAGGATTTTGACCTGTTGTCTCATTGCAGGTTTCCAAAAACAAAAGTAATTCCCCAGAATCTGCATTACCAAAGGGGTGGATTTCAGTTCATAGTGCGCAAATACACTAACGGTGATACTTCATAGTCCAAAACATTCCAGAGATACGAATCTCCAGGAAAGTTAAACAATATATAGAAAACTGGTTTGTACTTTGCTGAGTTCTAAGTCACTTACTTCACAAGCTGCCTGACTGTTATTAAACTGCTTTGTTAAAAGCTCAATCCACTGAAGCATTGTAGGCTGTAAAAAGAAATACAGAAAAAATCTTTAACTTAAAAATCTCTAAACACTCAGAACACTGAATTTTAAGCATATAGCATACATGCATGAAGCTACAAACCACTATACATATTGAAACCATTGTAAGTCACACAATGCTTAACTATCCACATATTTCCATTTTGTCATCATATTGGAATCTCATTCTTACAATGTGAGGCACTCTAGAATTAGTAATATGTCATAAAACACAGACGAGAAAATCAAAAGCCTACTGAGAATAAAAGTAGTTCAGAATAAAGCTTCCTTGCTGCTAACTACACTAGTTGTAACTAGCGTTTACAACTGCTGTTCAATGGCAAACAATGTCCTCTACATCAGACTTTAGCAAGTACTTGCTAAATCATGAATCATCTATGAATTTACAAATGAAAAGAACACAAGGTCTGTTGTTCCCAATGCTTTGCTGAGGCAAAGTAACCTAAATCCAGATCACACATTCTTCCACCGTGCAGTGTTAATTATGTTACACATTTTGTTTATAATAAAATGTGTTGAATGACAGTCTTTAAACATTTTTTGTCCACTGTACTCAGTACATCTCAGTATCACACTTCTACAGTGAAAAAGTACACTTTTCAGTATGTTCATGCATCTACTTCAAAAGAATTTACAAGTAAACAGAATACCTTTTCCTTTGAATGAATAAATGTCTCTAGTACAAAAGAAGTGCTTAACTGTGGGAGGAAAAAAGAACCATTAATCACAGAACACCCAAATTAAAATATAAACGGTATTCATTTTAAATAAGCAAAATAAACTTTTGAAGTATTTACCTTTGCTGTCATCAGGGAAACTGCTTTTGGATCTGGTAGCGTGCTTGGGATGCTACTACACAAATGCCACATAAACCTAGAGTCAGTAATTTTATTTGTTAATTTTAAAAAATAATGAAAATCTGCAAGAAGAAAAGAAGCATTAATATTACATTTTTAAAGAAAACTTACCCAAAATATGTATGTTCAAAAATGTTCTTGTCTTGAAGAAACTGCATGTTATCATGCCATATCCACTGAAGAAAAAATGCTAACATCAGATACAAGAAAGCAGTTTATTTCACTACATTAAGACTGATTCTAAGAATATTTAAATGTTTCCTGTGGATAAGAAATCAGTATTTTTTAAATGAAAAACTATTTTTAGAATAATCTATTCTATTTCAAAGGACTTGTTCAAAGTTGTTCTGTTTACACTACACCAAACAGTAGTTCTGCCTGCTCACTGACTGCAGAACAGAGCTCAGGATCTTTCCCTTGCTGTGATCTCATTTTCCCAACTAAACTACATTTTTAGGATGCATTTTTCAGAAGTGATCCAGCATCTTCATGAAGAACCACATCTCAAAACCGTATCTTGATATCTATGTTCACATAACAACTTAACAATAAAATTCCCTTAGATATGTAGTTTCACTAACTGAAATAAACTTGACATTCCAGTAGCTTAATCAGAACTCTGAGTAAAAATCTGACTCATCATTAACAGCAGAGATTTTTATAGTATGCCTGTTTCACACTCAGAAATGATGTTTTTGACCAAATCTGTTTGTAGCATTTTTCACGTTCAAATGGTTTTAAAACCTGTTTTAAACCTGTTAAAATCTGTTACTGCTTTGAAGACTGAGAAACACGTCATGATTTTTTGGCTAACAATGAAGAATCTTTTGAAGTTAAGAATTAAACAGAACAAATGATATATCAATACTTCTGACAAGAGCATGCAGGGAATCTGATTTGCCTTTCAAGTGATAAAAAAGTAGAAGAATCCCTTTCAATTCCACACTGATGATAAACCTAGCACAGTAAGGTACCCAGTATAGTACCTTGCCCTTCTGCGCTGTCTTTTCCAGTTCCCCAGGCTATACATGAATAAATAGTGTCCTCATATTTATAACCAGGTATCCTAAGTTTGAGCAGTACTCAACACTAAGGAGAACAGGTAGATGTACCTCAGGAAGACATTTCTCCTACTCATTTTATTCATACCTGGGCTACCTTCTCCATGACTATGTGTAAGAAAGGAACCTTTTCTAGCTGATGCTCCTTTACCTTAAACACAGCCTACCAATATTTTACAACCCACTATGAAAAAGTGTGAGGAAACAGCTGGAACTACTCTTGGAACTAATTACTGTTATGTCCTTCCTGAAAGCAGTTATTTGCTGAGAAACTGTAAGATAAAAAGGATGGTGGTTAATGAGAATACTTTCTGTACTGCTGTAAGTATTGAGGGAACACTGATATAAGCTCACAAAAACCAAACAGTAACAAAAAGCGTTTCACTTTTTTTTTTTTTTTTTAGAAATATGAAGCAGAACAATATAGATGCTTGAATTGAAATTTACATGGCAGAATGAGAAAGCACCTGAAATTTATATACAGCATGAACTTTCATTTACTTCCAATTCAACAGCATTCTCCTGAGGACTACATCTAAATAAAAGGATCATCATTTTTCTGATTCCAATTATATTTGTTTTCATGTTTTTACTCAGATTCCTGATTTGTTTAGGATTTCTTGTAGCATTTTAAAATTGGTGTAAAAAAAAATCAACTTGTACCTCCAGCAATTCCGAAGAAACATCAAATTTGTAGTCTTTGCCATTTTCCTCTTCCAGCTCCATCCGTTTGTAAAACAGCATGTAAGCACTGTGTGTCTTTAAGAAAAAAACATCTGTATAATTTTTGTTCTCAGAGAAATTATGGAAGTATAAATGTGATCATATATGCGTATGGAAGAGAAATACCTTTTCAAAGGAGAAGTCCATAAATTTATCAGTAACAGAATCATATGTTTTTGTCTGCAAAGAAGAAAGTAACATTATTAAATACAAGCTTCTTTGATGATCTGGTCAATGACAGTCCATGTAAATATGCACATGAACTAATTCAAGACAGCTGTAGAGGTGATGCTGACAGTTTATTTCTTGCACCAAGTAGTTATTTCTCTTTTTTCTTCCATTGTGATCTACTATTTACTATGACTTTCAAAATTGCTATGCAATATTTTGGCTTTTTCAATGCAACTGTCTTATCCTTCTCACTGGCTCCTCTTCCTTCCTGGTTCCTAAAAGGTGTTTAATCCCTTTGCCAAATCAAAACAATTTTTTTCTTAAATTTATTTATTTCAGCATACTGTTTTTATACGGAAAGAGGATTCTGAACTGTTTTAATAAGACACTGCATTATTAATCCTTTTATATAATTATATATAGAAATTTAATTTAAAAAGTTATCAATTCAAGCTGACTCTGCGAATCAGTGTCGTTTTACAGTTCTCTGCATTACTATGTAAAAATACTTAGGCTGATGTCAAAAGGTGGTGAACTGATGCAAAATACAAAGCTGTTACTGTATTAAGAAACCTTGAACTACTGAAAGCAAATACCAACTTAAGACATTTTATCTTCTTGCAATGAAAGGAACAAATAAAATCACTTAAACTTGCGGATCCACCAGTTTGAAAATCACTTAATATTAAAACACTTAATAGAGCTCAAACTTTCCAATCAAACAACAGTATGGCTATACAGAATTCCGAAAGATTTTTCAGCTCTATCATTAATTAAGAAGGATCTGACTGCGAGAGGTTTACAGATAAGAATTTGGAAATTAATGAAACAAGGCACACACAAAGACAAAAAGCCTTGCTTTTCCAGTAACTATTCCTTCAGTTAATAGGCTGAGTGACAAAACCACACTGGAGAAGAATTCCTGAATTAGCTGCATACTCACCTTTTTTAACAAGCAAATAAATAATATGATAAAAGTGGATACAGTAGAAGAAATAGCTAATTTCTCTTCTTTGGAGAGAGATTTCACTAATTCATTTTGATTAATGAGTAATACATTCACAAATTCAATAAGATATTTATGGGAGGAATTAAGACCCTTCTCCTTTACTGGTTTAACTTCAGTCATACAGAAAGGGAAGAAAAAGGAGAGAACTTGCATGACTAGCCTGCAAGTATTCTGCAAAGCTTTTCACTTCTGAAAGAAGGACACCCTTTGAAGAGATCAGCAGTGAAAGAACAACTGATATAAACAAGCATAACTTAGTATCACTTGCACAACAAAGATGTCAAAAGTTTTAACACAACTCAGCTTAAACCTCTAAATTTTTCTCATACATTCAGAACAGATGGCAAACCAGAGATGAACACTACAGATTATTTCATGAAAGTCCTCAGAACAGACATTCTAATGGTTGAACATGACAAAGACAGAAGTCATAACTTACAGTCATTTCTCCACCAAAACATTCTGAGGCAAGCTGTGTTGAATCAAATGGTTTTACTTCAGCATCGTTGAAAAGATACCTATAAGAACAGCAAGCTTTTGAAACAACTGTTGTTTGTTTCTCAGGGCAAATGAGAGTACAACAAAGAAAGTGATTCTTCAGATTAAGCATTTTTCTTAATTTCTACTACTTTGCTCAAATCACAGCAAACTAATAAGTGATTCCCAAAGTGACCTTTTTTCAGTAAGGGCAGGAAGTCAGTATTTCAACAGATGTATTTATTTAACTCCAGAAACACATTATTTTCCACTTTTTCTGAATATGACTGGTAGAAATAAAGTTCTCACGCAGTCAAAATTTGCCCTTACTTTTTCAGTTTGAGCAAAATGGAAATAAAAAGAAGAGAATCATAGAATTTATCAGTATAACTCTAACTAGAAGGTGGCAAAGAAAGACTGTACAGAATTATGGATAGCCTTTTGAGCAGACATTAGCCACCGTCTGGAAATTTTTCAAGAAATGTTCCAGCCAGTTATTAAAGAGAACAGGAAAAGAAGAAGTCTCGTCTTTTGTTGCAGGGCCGCAGCTGAGAGTCTGAGATATGAACATAAGCATCTTCTATACAAGATGCAGCAAGTTTAAAGGGAAGAAAAATTAAAATTGTTGTTTTAAACTACAGAAAATGGACAAAATTAAAAGGAACAAAGACTGCAATCATTAATACTGCTATACATTCAGAGATAACCCCTTTTATGATGAAGGGTTATCTATTAAATCTTACTGTTCACACACACTGAAATAGATAAAATAGTCATCGATACTCATGTGAAAAACCAAGCACTGGCTATACTGCAAGCCCTAGCCTGGTATTCTCTTGCTGCCTCTGGCCAAGGATCACCACAGTTGCTTCCACTACAGCACACAAACATGTATGTGTAAATCAATATACAAATACCTAGCAAATTCTAAAAACTTGTGCTCTTGAAAAGACCCACAGCACACAGAACACCGTTGACAAAGTCAATAATTTTTAATCACTTCAACATACAAAACAATGAAATTTTGCTTTGCATAACTCACCATTTGTTGTTTTTGTAAGCATGGGGATTTACTATATCTCTGATGAAACTGTAATAATGTCCACCATCTGCTGTTCCTGTATGAACTGTTACACCGATGAGATCATACTCATAACTCTCTGTTTCTTTCAAATATTCACCGTCTTCCTTAAAACCTTAGGTAATACAACACCGAGTATTATTTCCTAAGCATATGAGTTTCCATGTTAGTATCTTCCATAAACATGTCCCGCAGTTAACTTAAAACTCGTCCTAACCTTTCAGCAGGGTACAATGACAGCCAGAAAATCCATATCCAGAACAAAGAGTATAGATCTCAACTCCTTTAAAACAAGTTTTTTTTTGCAAAGCATCACTATACTAAAGAGATTGGAACTAACAAGTTCGCACACCATGATTACAATGGTATCAGTCAGCCCTTTCCTGAAGTTCAACCATTACTCTTAAAAATCAAAATAGGCCAGTAATAAACTGAGCACATATATTTGTAACCATCCCATATTTTAAAACTGAACTTAATAGTTCAAACTGAACTGCACACAAAAGCAAAAATAATTAACCAGTCTTTTTGTACTAAAGAAAATGTGTGCCTTTCAGAATATAGGTCAATAAAAAAACTTCTGATTTTCTTTTAAAACATCTCAATTGTCCACAAACATTACAATTGTAGGAGGCATACCTTCTTTCCTGTCATTTTTTCCCATGAGGAAATCTTCAGTATAAGGTGTCATATCCAAACGCAGAGGGAATGAAAAATGAGTGTTCACTTTCTCCTTCATCATAGTTACCATATTAAATGTATATCTCATAGTGTTGAAGCTTAAGATACGAGGTAGTTTCTTAAAACATGCCCTAAACGATTTAAAGCAGTTGTGATTTAGTTGGTTGAACTGTATTTCCACAAAGATTTTCAACACATTTATTTCAAACATGAAACTGGAAATCTGTTAAGAAAATCACGTAAAGTTCAGCAATTTTAACGCCTTACAGTAGGGCAGTAACTGGCAGCAGAAAAGTCAAATTGAGCTTACTGAACAATTTCATTTAGCACTGTGCCTTGGAAAAGGGATTGAATTTGCTCACTGTGTGTTTTCTAAAACAATATAGTAAAAGGAGCCATGAAGGAATTTAGCAGTGCAAATCTCCCTACCAGATGGAATTACTATCCTGCCACTGACAAGTTTCAACAAAGAACATACCTTCTATTATACCTCATAAACTTTTCATTACTGATTTCTAAGCAGGTCACTTTCACTTATAACAGCTACAGAATCAACTACGAGTTTTTTCATCTCGAAGAATTAAATTTTGTTAGTTGCAGTAAAAGGACAAGGCAACATTTTTATCTCCCTGTTCATTAGTAGACTGTAAAAATTTTTTATACATTTTAGAATACCTGTTTTAAACTAAGAAATACAGGGCTACTATGAAACTTGCAGTTATCCTGCATAATGAATAACACAAACACTTTTCAACAAGAAATGCTGAAATAATTCATCTTCTAAAAACTGGAAAAGATTTAAAAGTTACTGATGTGACATATTTAGAATCATAGAACAGTTTGAGTTGGAAGAGACCCTTTAAAGATCATCTAATCCAACTCCCTTGCAATGAACAGAGACACATGCAGTTCCATCATGTTGCTCAGAGCTCCGTTCAGTCTGATCCTGAGTATCTCCAAGAACGGGCATCCACCACCTCTCTGGTCAACCTGTTCCAGAGCCCTTATTGTACAAAACTTGTTTCTTATCTCATGTCTAAATCTCCCCTAGAGAGTTTTTCTTTTGATAAGCCCATACCCTTGGATTTTGTAACATTCTAACAGTCTCGTATTGCTGCTTTTAAAAAACAATTCTTTGGATATGCTTCATACTTTTCTGATGTATTTTAGACTATAACCTGCAAACACTTTGTCTGAGCTCCTTTTCTTCCCCCTCAGCCAATCAGACACAATGCTGGGAGTTCTGGCCTAGAGCTTTTGCAATTCACAAAGCAGTCATTTAATATTTCCTGAGCACACACTTCCAGTAATCTCATTCTATTCCACAAAGGTCTTGAACATTTTGCTGTCTAGCAGATCATCTTATAAGATGCTTCTATTTTGAAAATTTGATTTCTTAGGTTCGTTCTCATTTTGCACAAGGAGTACATCCTTACAGGCCTTCACATTAGTAAAATGAGTGAAACCACTGTCCTGTTTCATCTGAAGAATTAATCTAACAGGAATAGTAATCTCTGCAATTTACTAAAAAGAAACATTAGGACTATTTTTCTTAATCTTACCTTTTTTCAGCCCGCACTTTTTTCCCACAATGAGAACAGGTATACATGTTATCACCTTCCAAGGTATCTTTAATAGTTACTTCATCAAGAGATTCCTACATATAACAACAAATTCAGAAGGAGTTTATGTTTATTTCAGATATTATCTCTTGCGCTTACGTGACCTGCTTTTCAAAACCTCTCTCCTAGTCTTAAAGCAAGTTTAATCAACATATCCACAAGTCATGAAATAAACTCATCATATGCAACAAAAAAGGAAGAAGAAAAAGCATGCGACTGAACTTTTCTGAAGAGTATGACATTATTATAGGAAGATCAGTTCCTCAAAACCCAAATACAAATTTCAGGAGAAAATTCAAATAAATGGTACTCAATATTCTGAGCTTTCCCAAAGAATTCAGGCGCTCTAACTCCAAATTCCAAGAGTAAGGATTAAAATAGTTATTTAAAAACCCCTATAACCTAAGATTATATTGGTATAAATTCTCAATTAGCTTAATAAATAGCAGAACATACTAATACAATCTTTTGACATTTACAATTCTCATACATTTTTCAAACACAGAAGAAAGCATTGCCAGTAACACAGTCTTTATTCCATTCCATGAGCACACTGCACTGAACACATGAAACAATTTGACTGAATCACCTCCTTATATCAACCTAGAAACACCTAAACTACAGCACAGAAAAAGAAATCATCCACATGTCCAATATGAAGTTTTCTATTACGCTTTTACACTTGCCATCTATTTTAATCCATCTGAACCTCACATTACTTACGTAAATATTCTTCATATCTGCTACCTGGCATCTTACTGTATAGAACTCTTCAGCAGTCTGGCTTACATGTTCACAGTCCTAAATCACAGCAATGCAAGAGCAACACATGAAATAACTGTATTGAGAGGCTAAAAGTATCTTGAAAACATATGGACAGGGAAAGATTACTTACCAAGGAAACAACATTGTTTGTGATAACACCTCCAAACAAACTTTTCACTGTGTTTTTCTGTGAATGAATTAATAAAATCTGTTAAGGATATTTGAACAAATCCATAACTTTTTAAGTGCTCTTTTTCTACCTCTCAATAACTCACCAGTTCTGGAGACATCTCTTCTATTTTTGTGATCAGGTCAGTGAAGAATTCAGTCATATCTTTTTGCTCTCCAGTGTTCAGTGGCTGCTTATCCATGGTATAAGTTTTACAAAAAGGCCGTGGATTATATGCTTTACATTCACTTTCCTTTAGGTAAAAAAAATATTAAACAAATCAACCACAAATCCTCGTACTTTCACATTACACAGATATACCAAACACATGCATACAAATGTCAGTGTACATCTCATAGACAACAAAGTTATCTAAACGTTTAAATGCATCCGACAAATGGTAAAACAATTTTAAACTATCATCATTATGATATTCATTATTAATAAAAATAGTATCAGTAAAATATAATCTAAAATACTTAATAAAGGAAGTCACCATTAAAAAATCCAGACTGAAGACACGGCATGTTCAGGTCTTTATCTATCTGCTCAGATACAATAAATGGTACTATAAGCATCAGACAGTACCTATGGATTTCAGAACACTGGACTTAGATCTTGACAGATATTTAATTCTCATTCAGCTGTTTCCATAATACAAACTACATCTAGTTATCCAGTGCAAGAGATCAGTTAGAGAAAAAAAGCTGAATTCCAAAAAGTTGTTCTATAATGCATTACCCATTCCAATGTCTTGCATGCTGCAGATACAGAACCAAATTACAGCAGATTATTATCCTTGCAAACCTGACAGACCTATTATATTTGTTAAATCACATGTGGCCATATGGTGTTTCCTGTTAATATTACCAGGTTCAAACTAAGTCCTTTGTAAAGATATAAATAATAAATCCTCAGCAATCTAGCCATGTATGATGGAGTAATGGCATCAGTAGACAAAGCAGAATGAGGAAGAGA